GGGAGCACCTCTGTCAAACTGGCCTCATTTCACCATGCAAATGCTGGGAACAGGCTGTGTGCCCTGGTTCACTAATGCATATTTCTCCCCCAGCCACCATCAATACAAAATCACTGATCAGAGGCAAACAGCACAAGATCAAGGTAGACGGCCACTTAACAAGGCTTGAGAAGGAGGCAGCTCAGACACTTGTGAGATTAAGAACATTTAACAAGTCTCTGGGGTCTACTCCAGGGACCCCCCTCCCACACAAAGCCCCTATCCTGCCCCTCTAAAGACTGAAAAAAGCTGTAATTGCAAAGCTATTAGCATGTTCTGCTCACGCCGTTGCTAATCTCTTAACATAGGAAACAAATAAAGCCACACGAGTGGAGAGATTATCAACGAGAAGTGATCTGGCTCTAGTCCTGCATAAGACATGGCTATCCAGACCTCCAGCGCTGGCTAAAGCTCAGCATGCACGTTTCCCTTCATTGTGATGTGATCTGAGCACTGTATGAAAGTTTAAGGCAAATAAAAATCTGTTTAGAATTGTCACTTTGAGATTCACAGACAAAACAGAACAAATTCATTGAATGAAGGTTAATTATGTACTCTGTGCTTTGTTACAGACTCTGGACCGCTACCCTTCCTATAATACATTCAACAAACTCCTTACCACAGCACTTATAAAACAGACAGAGTTTATTCCTTCATCTAGGAATTTCTTAGATTTTCAGAATATAACCCCACTCAACCAGCAGACACACTTTTGGTTGTGTGATGGGAAAATATGAAAACAAGACGGAAAAAATATATAATTTGCTGGATTTTATTTCTGTGAAAGTTAAAAGCACTGGTCAAAACATTATAACAATTTGATACGCTCAAAAGATGCCCGCATGCTGAGCAATAAGTGTCATTTTTACTTAGACTGTGCATGCTAGCGTCAATTTGGCAGCTTTCCCGATGTGGGCTAGGGAGAGGGTCTGTTGACAATGTTGCAATGCAGAATAATGGCAGTAAAGGCTTCAGCATGAGAGATAATTGACATTATTGTGCAGTTTCTGTTCTTCCCTCTAGTGGCCAGTAGTAGTGTTGCAACAATTAAAAATGTACATTGTTTTACGATGTAAAAACAACCACAAAACCAATACACTCGTATGCAATATGGCAACCACAAAACCAATACACCGTATGCAAATATGACAACCACAAAACCAATACACCGTATGCAAATATGACAACCATAAAACCAATACACCCGTATGCAAATATGACAACCATAAAACCAGTACACCGTATGCAAATATGACAACCATAAAACCAATACACCAGTATGCAATATAACAACCACAAAACCAATACACCAGTATGCAAATATGACAACCATAAAACCAATACACCCGTATGCAAATATGACAACCATAAAACCAATACACCGTATGCAAATATGACAACCATAAAACCAATACACCCGTATGCAAATATGACAACCATAAAACCAATACACCAGTATGCAAATATGACAACCGCAAAACCAATACACCAGTATGCAAATATGACATCCATAAAATCAATACACCAGTATGCAAATATGACAACCATAAAACCAATACACCCGTATGCAAATATGACAACCTCAAAACCAATACACCAGTATGCAAATATGACAACCACAAAACCAATACACCCGTATCCAAATATGACAACCATAAAACCAATACACTAGTATGCAAATATGACAACCTCAAAACCAATACACCAGTATGCAATATGATAACCTCAAAACCAATACACCCGTATACAATATGACAACCACAAAACCAATACACCCGTATGCAAATATGACAACCGCAAAACCAATACACCCGTATGCAAATATGACAACCACAAAACCTATACACCCACATGCCTATATGCAAATATGTTGCAAACAGGTTTCTGAATACACCCGTATGCAATATGACAACCACAAAACCAATACACCCGTATGCAATATGACAATCGCAAAACCAATACACCAGTATGCAATATGACAACCGCAAAACCAATACACCAGTATGCAATACGATAACCACAAAAACAATACACCAGTATGCAATACAATAACCACAAAAACAATACACCAGTATGCAATATGACAACCACAAAACCAATACACCCGTATGCAATATGATAACCACAAAACCAATACACCAGTATGCAAATAGGACAACCACAAAACCAATACACCAGTATGCAATAAGACAACCTCAAAACCAATACACCAGTATGCAATATGACAACCACAAAACCAATACACCCGCAGACAGCTTTCTGAATCTTCAGATTGCATGATGATGAGGTATTGCCAATTAGAGAAAAGCAGCATATATCCTTTGACGGAATACAACGTATATCCTATGACAGGACACTGCCCTCATTTTATTTGGACAGCACTAAAAGTGAGCAAACTGGCAGAATAAAATGAGTTTCATCAACACATGAGCTCTGCCTCTCTTTTAATCAGCTGACTTGCCCAAGTCTACCAATATCCTGTTCTCCGAGCTGGGACGGTGCTTCCTTTCATTGCAAGAGCAGTTAAATTACTGTCCCCTTTCCTGTGGGGAGAAGGCAAAAAAAAAGTATCTTTACCTGCACAGATTCCCAAACAAGAGTTTGGTTGATCCACTATTTAACACCTTTCACTTTCCATGTATTCAGAAAAGCTCAGGGCAATCACATAAATAGTGCAAATCAGGACTTGTATGGCCGACCTAAGACATACAGCAACCTGATGAATTGATCTGTCCCTTGTGCACATTATTATGACAGCTGAAAAATAGATCAGGTCTCTATGACTGGAAAGCAATGACCTAATATGTACAGTTCAGCAGGAAAAGAGAGTTCCACCTTTATAGTGAAGAGATACATTTCTGATATTTTTCCGTAGTGGATAAACACAACTTACTTTATAACCGTCATTAAATGTAATACAAATAAAGGGCAATATACACTTGCATGTAAAACCTGTAACAATTGTACATTCTGAGCTCAAAATACATTGGGTGCATCGATGGTTCCAGGATGAACCTTGTTTAGAGCACTTGGGTCATCCTTGAGAACAGAAAGAGAGAAAAGACTCCGGGAAAGGAAGCTTTGCATTCTCCGGCATCCACAGTCCTCTCGTTAACTCTTGTGCTGTAGTGAGCGCATTGCCGAGACAGATGTGTACACTGTTGCAATGCACTGCCAGTGCCCGCACAGCGTGCAAAGGGTTAACATTGCTTTCCCTAATTATGTTGCATCTTATTGCCATACACTTAATTAGCTGCATTAATGTGATTTCTTTTTACATAGGCAAGCAATTAAGGGCTATGATTGAGTTTCATTCAATTAGCCTCAACAAACATGCTAATTGATGTCCCAGATGCAAATGAGATGTGGTGAGATAGAGAGGCGCACACTGCGCAGTGGGAGGGGGAATCTTTGCTCGGAGAGTGGGGTCTCCGCGGGGTCTGGCTGCGGTATTGAACCCCATGACTGTCAGCACAGGGGGTGCTCTGCTCTGGGACCGGCAGGGAATAAGAAGCTTAGTTTTCGAGGTAAGGAGGGGCAGGCGAGAGACTGGATCAGACCCCTAGGGCAGCTTTTTAAAGGGGCAACAATTAGTTAGTGCAGACAGCAGAAGAGAGGCGCATGAGACAATATCATCCCGCAGTCTTGTGCATCCCTGTTGACTTGGGGTCACGTCCTAGGGCTCCCCAGGGTCTGGTCTATGAGCACTGGGATTATCCCAGCTCCATATGGGATAGACAGGAGGGAGCCCAAACCAATACACAAATTATGCAATACTCTGCTCTTTGTGTTGCAAGAATAATATTGTCATTATGGATATGTGCCCAAATCTGACAGACACGGAATCCATCCAATCGCCTGCAGTAACTGAACAGCATGGTAAATAAATGGCAAATAAAATGCATTAAGTAATTCAACTGTCAGAGTTAAATCTTCTTATGCTGTTGACTCACTAAAAAGCAATTTTTTTTCCTCCCGTCTCTTGAACGCCGTCAGTGCCAGTCGCTTCCAGAATGATTTCTAATGGGTTTGTATGCTAACGACATCTGATGATCATGATCTGATACACAGTGCTAAATGCTTGCACTTGGACATTTTTTGCGTACATTCCAAATACCGGGTTACTAATACAAAGTCGAGGTGCAGTATGATGAGTTCTCTACTCTGTGTAACGTGTAGTGGGTAGCGATGCCACTGCCCCTTCATGACAAGGGTTTCCAGACAGAAGCCTCATCTGGGAAAGCAAGGAAGAAAAAAAACCAAAACCCATAACCTCTTGGCAGAGCGGGAGAAAAAACGCAGAGAGTGGGGGCTCGCTCGCCTTTTGCTTATTGAGTTTAAGGCATTACACGCAGCAGCACAGAGGGAAGCAACACTAATTTTAATGCCATAAAATGCTCTAAAAGTGCCCCAGGCCCCAGCTACGTAGGAGCTACTTGCACCTAAATAAGACACGGTTCATTTCCTCTGCAGCTTAGCCTAATGTAATCAGCAGCCTGGAGACGTGAGCGCCACCGAGCAGATAGAGAGGGGGGACACTGCCAGCGGTCCGGGGGGCCGTGGACAGATTGCTGTTGATTAGAGAATTTTTCAGTTTTGACAAGGATGTAATGAAGAGCTTGTGAAGTTGTTCACCTGAGGAGAGGGCAGTCTGGATAAACGTCACTTCGTAATAGACCTATTACAGCCAGCACAATACACTGACCTGATAAAAAATTAACACTTAAACGCGGCAAAACTCATGGCTGAACACAGGCCGTTACACAAATGCCAAAGCCGAGGCACACTCCAAGCTCACACAGATACTCCCTGGCACTTAAATAACATGCTTAGCTGCCCGAATAAACTTGCTTAAAGGGAATACACTTAGGTGTATCTTCACCAAGAAGATATTAGAGATCTTATTGTGACCTCATCCTGAAAGTGATCTTTTCACATGTTTGATGTTCCATATTTAGATGACTGCATTTCATATACATATTTGTAGATCCTCCCTCTAGTGGTCATTCTTATATGAGGGATTGTGATTCCCACTCAAGCATTATGAGATTCAGTCAACTAGGCATTGTTTTCCATCAGTCAGATCTATCAGGTACTAATAGACCTGCATGGAGAGAGAAGATCAGTACAGCACAATCACTCTGCAGCACTACCAAGCAGGAATGCATATGCAATGAGCAAATATACAAGAACATTTGTATTAGTAAATAAAGCACCGTTTGGTTTTCTTTTTATATTAACACCTATTAGATGAAGGGGACCACAGGCACAAAATCAAATATATCTCTATGTAAAACGTTAACCCTTGCAGTGGGGCTACCTCCACAATGTAAGGGGAACTGGTCATTTCGGTCTAGGGATGCAAATGAAAAAAAATATATATATACTGATCTGATCCTCGATCCTGCCTGGATACTAGACCGGTCCATACAACCTCTTCTCCCTGGGCTCCAGTGATCTAAGCCCCACTGTTGTCATCACGTCTAATGCAGTCAATTCACTTGCATTAGATGCGAGGACGTCAAGGCTGGAGAGGAGGGGGAGATAGGTGAGCGCTGACTGCTGCAGGACTAAAGATCAGTTCTTCTTTAAGCATTTTATTCTAAAAAATAAACATTTGTGTTTAAAAAAAAATCATTAAAATTTTATATACAGCGTCTGGTTTGTTCCAAGTGCTCTTCTCAAAGGAATGTAGGATATCTTGTGGCCAAACAATCATAGTACAGGTGGTCACTAAGCTAATAACTACAGGGGAAATTATGTAATTAGTGCTAAATAATCAGGATATATAATTAGTCTACTGTATTTAAACATGAACAGAGTTACAGAAAACACTTATGGATGTGTCTACAGTTGCTACATTTGGTAACATGCCCTTCATGTTCTCAAAGATGACCTCAAAGTATTTCTTTTGTTTTGGGTGGAGGTTGATGATGGGAAGTGGTTTGTAAAGTAATACCTGCCTTTCCCCCCCCCTAAAAGAAAACTGAAAAACTTGAGTGGTGTGAATTTCTTCTGACAATGCCCTCATCATGCTGCAGCAGTGACAAGAGGAGATCATTAGAGGAACTTCATGGTCCTGAATCTTCATAACAAGGCTGCCATTTCTGACCTTTCCTTCTACAAATGATAGTTACTGTCATGTTGATTCATTGGCTTCAATACTTTAAGAACTTGAAAAAAGTATGTAGATCACGAGTTCCGACTCCACTGGCTGTTATGGTTAAGTGACTCACTAAATACTGAAGTTTGTGACAGCCAACAACTAGCAATATCAGAAAGAAGACAGAAGTGGCAGCCTACCGATCCCACGAAGCTCAGGTTTTCTTTACAGGCCAATAAAAATTAAATACATACATACACACAGATCCTCAATGATACTTTAATAACATGCTTAGCTGCTACATATTCACAGATGTCGCCTTACTTTTTTTTTCTTTTAAAAAGCCTGGCACTGCCACGGTACTTCAAGATTACCCTCACAAGGAAACATGAAATGATTGGTTGCACTTACAACTGCAGCCCTCCGTCGGGTAAAAATAAAATCACAGGCAAGGTGTCATTTAGAGAGGATGTTTGGAGGGACATGGTAAATGATTTGGATCAGGCTGTGGTATGACACTGCAGTGGGCTGGTGAATGGTTAGGGTTGGACTACACTTACAATACTGTAGAGGGCTCAGAAAAGCTTGTGCTTCAGTGGCCATGACATGGGGCAGCACCACCTGCACCCAGTGTACCATGAAGATGACATTCCATTCCTGCCTATGCTAGCTGGTATCATTGAGGTGCTGCTCACACCCAGCTCTTTGGTGCATAGGATCCGATGGGTGTGTAATTGCTTAGTCTTCATGTTAGGCCTGATTGTGGGTACAAACAAGCTGCAATGCAATTTACAGGTATGGTAGGTAGAGTAAGGTGTATGGGCTAGGATCAAGTCTTCACAAACAGACCAGCACAAGTCTCTATACATTGCCATGAAAGCAAACATTCAGCACATAAAAAAATGGCTCTATGGAAATCACTGTATTTCACTGCTATGTAAACAGCAGCATCTAGGCAGTGGCCCCCCTTTAGTATTTTAGGGTGCTGTTTGAGGTTGGGACCATTATTTTAATACACAAAGAAGCCTTAATAAACTAGCAGATTTAAATTTTTATCAGAAACCAACTATAAAATTGGGATTAACTGAGTGTATTGTGGCAATAAGAAGGAACTGTATTGAAATTTTAGGCCATTATCACTGTGACAATAGCTCATCAATCCCAAATAGTCAGGTATTTGGTTCATTTTGGTTAGTAGAACTTACGTGTAAACTAGGGTGATAGGTGAGGACTCCATTGTCACTTAGGGTGACATATTTCTTCTTCCATTCTTTGTTTAGGGACTTCCCACTTCTCTTTAGTAGCATGCCCTATTAAAAGAAAAAAAAAAGAAAATTTAGCAACAAATAGACAAAACACAAATGCATATGCGTTGCTGAGGTTATTCTATAAAGGCATAAATAGGAGCCTCTAGTACATATCAGACATTTATGCATGTTTTTGCTTATTCCACCCATGTGCCTGCAGTCCAGGTAACCCTACAAACATACCCCTAGAGAAGTGGCGATTTGCAATATTGTATCAAATCATTCTTATTACTCCTGTTATACATCATCTTTCCCCACAAAATGAGAGGAAAAAACCTAAAGTTATTGCAAATAGCACAAAAGCAAGCAATATGGAGTAATTAAACAAGGAATGTCTCTACTCTTGTTCTCAGTTTCTAACCTTAAAAGGGAAAACAGTGCCGCCTAATGGATACATTACCATGAAGCCTCAGTAGGTTTGAATAATAGGACAAATTCATTTAGTATGGATTCCCAAGGGACAAAAATACATTTTCAGCTCAACTTGCTTCTCAATATATTCCATCCCCAAACATAAATAACAAAATGTTCAAAATTTATAAGGCAAAACTAACTGTTTCTAACCAAAGCATTAAAAAAAATTGTATTAATGATTAGATGGATAACTAAACACCGTTTTGATTATGGAAACAATAAACAGATTATTCTATTCTAACAATATACTGAACTATGCAAAATAAAAATGTAAAACTTTACAGTGATGCCAGGTTTTGTATTCAATATTTTCTCACTTTTGTTTGCCTCCCCCCCCCCAATTAAAAAAATGTACCGCTGATCTTTTTGGGGCAGAATGACAGTTGCATCATCTTGCCTATTTCCTGTGAGCACAGCCAGCCATTTATATGCCCCCTATGGGGCATGTCAGGCTGGGCTCACAGCATTTCAGGACTGAGAGCTGCTCACACGTTATTACATGAGCACGGCTCAGTCCAGGAAGAATGCCTGTCCCCAGCTACTGCTGAGGAAGAAGAGGAAACTCCTGTGACATCACTAGACTGGACCAGAAAACTGCAGGAAAAAATATGTATAGGGTTAAAAAAGAAGGTGGGTTGGTGCCATGTTATACAATTGGGTTCAGCTTTAAGTAACATTAATCTACTGGCCCCTGCTAATCATACCCTCACATGCATGGAAAGGGCATTGGCAAATAAAACTTTAAAAATCAGATGTGCATAGCAAGAAGTGCAGACTATGCCCCTTCTGTATGCTTCCCTGTGTGAAGTCAGGCAATTGATATAGAAGGGAGATGTTCCCCTCCAGGCTGTCACAACAGAGCGCTCACACTTCTGCATGGGAACACAGCTCAATAGCAATTATTTAACGGCAAAGATTTATTGATCCAGCTCTGCCTGCAGAAGGAAAGGTTGGTGGGGTTGAGACTAACCAGAGGCAGGGAGGCAGTAGCAATATAAGAGACAGAAGAGAGAGGCATGAGCCAAAAACTGCCCGCATATAACATGTTCATCCCCATTACTTGTCGGGAGTTCATTTTAAGGGGGCTGTACACCCAAAAGTAATACTATATATAGAGCCTAGTGGGCAAAATCAGTCTCTTGGTTCTTACGTGTTTTAGTTACTACAAAAGCAAGACCTCCTTGCCATACATTTCTGACTCCACATTGGAGTTCTGGGTATTCCTGCCCACCTTTGCATTTTATAGCTCCTTCTGTTCTGGTTTCCACAACATAAAAATAAGTAAAAAATCCAACAGGGAGAGTGGGAACCATCAAAATGACCACATCAGGTAAGCAGATAAATAATCCCAAGCCTAGAGATTTTACCAACATAGTACCCGAGAAAAAAACAAAAACATCAATGATAGAAAAGTTAGAAATACACAAGGTTATGGATGTTTGTTGGTAGAACAAAGCAAATTGACTCACAAAGTTCACAATGTGGCCAGACCAGGGCCAATCCACAGACGGTGAAGATTTAAAAAAAAAAAAAAAAAAGTGCAATTGAATTACCATCTCAAAAGGTGCCATCCTGGCAGCATACCAGGCTGGCATAAATCTCAAGTACCAGAAAGGTGCTGGAGGGAAGCCTAAAAATGTGAAGCAGCCCTCTAAATATGAAACCCAAATGGGGGGGGGGGGCAATTAGCTTCTCTGTTTCATTTTTAAAAGCTTACCTGAACAAATTGAAATGAGAAGCATTGCACAGCACAGCATGGGAAAGACCCTTGTAATATATTGTTTAAAATGGTTTCTATTAAATAAAGTGATACAGAGAGGAATTGCTTTACTTCAAATCCAATTTTGAAGACCTTTTACGTGTCATTCCCCCACCTAGTTTCCATGCCTTGTTGGACCAGTCAGACTTTTGCTAGTGGTGCCGTTTTTTTTTTTAAACTAAATTGGTGGATTGGTAATTTATACGTGGAATAGTATATAGTCCACAAAAGTAGTCTAGTATCACCAGAAAGCATACACACATTGTGTCACAACAATGGAAAGAGTAACAGTGGAGAGTAACAGTGTCTTTATGCCCAGTATTCTCTGGAAGACCTCTATCCACCTATTGCCAACTTATCCCATAGCAACCAATCAGATATGATAATTCTTAAACTAAAGAGTGGGTGGACTACAAAACAGCTGTCTTCTAGTTGGTTGCCAAAGATTTCTTAACATCACCATTCTTTAAACTATGTTACTGAATAAGCCCCAGTTTAGCTTGTTTAATAAAGCTGTAGAAAAAGTGATTTGTGGGGTGCAGCAATGCATAGCAACCAGAATTCCTCTTTCACTGGTTAGAGAAGTACGAACCATGAAGAATTGTCACTGACTGGTTAAGATTTACTGTACCTTGCTCCTTAGATTCTAGAATACATTTACCATAATCTAAAATATACTGCTAGGTTAACGTGATTCTGGTAAAAAGATGGCAAAGATCCACTCACCTATTTCTAGTGTCTTATCTTTGCTTGTGGAAAAGCTGCAAAATCTCCTTGTCAGGAAGAGAAGAATGTATAAAAACACAGGTGTTTTCTTTATCCTCTCTAGTGATCCTGCTGCTGGCGAGTTGTCACCAGTGCCAGGATTTTTAGTGCATCATGGGCCTAACGTGCTTCCATATTTTGCTCCCTTGCTGGTGGAAACATTGTAGAATGTAAGTTGCCAGCCAGGAGGAAACTTCTCACTCATCCAGCTGGCAAAGGAGCAACACATGGAAACATTTAAGTATTTCTCCTACCATGTTTACACCTGTAAAGCGATTCTGTTGAGTCTGGATGACCTGTTGCAAGAAGCTGCATGGAAACATAGGGGACCATAGGAAAAAAAACCTTTCTTTTTACAGTACAATAGTTAAAATGACTGCAAACTAATGATGGGTGTGCGTTTTTTGTGACCCAATCAGTTGCAGAGAGGTGCATTAAATGCCACAGCTATATATCACAAAGGGGTGGGGAATGCCGAAACTGCCGCCACTGATTGGGCCAGGAGGGGGAATTGGCTGTTACAGTTTTCAGCAGTCTCAGGCGAACTGGGTTCGCACCAAGCCCAGCTCATCTCTACTGCAAACCAGAATAGTAACTGCTGTTGCATTTCCTAATCACGTACATTTATTTAAACAAAAAGGAAGATCATAAAATAAAGTGTAGAACAGTGTGCAAGAAACCCTAAAAAAAACGCAAATGAAAAACACAGCACACAATTTTCAAGCACCGAAGTCTGAATGGAGCTGTATGCTCACAAGATGCAACTACCAGGTGAAGGTTTAAGAAATACTGGGGTCATTTCTAAATCTCTCCTCAAGATGTACACTTCTTCAATTGTCTAATGTGTACCTTATGTGGAAAGCACAAATGCATTCTTTATACTTTTAGAGGTTGTACGTTTTTTGCGAAGCACAAAAAATTGCTTGACTTTCAGTTTCCTTCAAGTTTCAGTTTGCCCTCCATGTGTAGTTTTATAATATGAAAAAAAAAATGCACTTCACAAAAAGTAATTTGGGCTCTTAAATGTATAAATAAATGTATAAATATATTCTTTATCTTCCAAGATCAGCAATTAAAATGTAACTAGAGAAGGTAAATAATAAACATTACTCCCACATTTCTCTATAAATGCAATGTAATGTCATATCTAGAAGTGCATAAAAAAAATGCGACATTAGAAGAAGAAAAAAAGTGCGTAAGGGTGACACACAAAGACAAACTGAAGGAAAGATTGTTGGAAACGCGGATGCATCAGTATAGATTATTAACTTGCAGCCATTACTGAAGAGGTTAATTTACACCACATTGCAAACAAGACGGCTATACGTTCAACCTGCCCATGGTATGGAGTCCCAGTTGCACAGTAGCTAATCAGAGAGCACTGATCACACCCCCTCCACCTTCAGTTGAAAATATTTATGTCAGTGTGTAGGAAGGGGGTGCTGAACATTACACTTTAATAGAGCTGTCAGTGGCTCCCACAAGCCCATGCTGGGTGCAGAAAGGAAACTTGTTATTGTCGATGCCCTATTTGCTAAACCTGGGAAACAAAAAAAAAAAGAGAGAGAAAAAACAATAAAAGAATGTTGGTGGCGGGGTCACATCACCCCGGTGACCCCTCTGTCATTACCAACATCTCACCGCTGGGAGGACATCACACAGGAGCCGACTTCAAAGAGCCCAGCACAGGAGCACAGCTAATGACAAGCAAATCCAACTCAAATGCCACTAATTGGCTAAACCGCTCACCTCTCCAGAGCTCAGCAGTAATTTACAATAATAAAGAGAGGGGGATAGAGACAGGAGAATATCACTGCCCTGTGACTGCAACCTCTCCATATATACACACACAATGCACATTTTAATAATGATAGATACATTCCAATTTGGGCTGGCTGCGGAAATAGAAACACAGAGGAGGGAAGAGGTGAGCGGAGGGAGCGGAAAAAGACGAAAAGGAAAGGAGAACGGGCAGATAGGTTCTTTCTTGATTTTAAAACTGATTCATATGACATCCTGCGGCATCTGAGCTATACCTTTTGCAACCAGTGCCACCTGACACCCG